CGGGAGGTATCACCATCCCAGACTTTAGCCTCTACTACAAAGCTGTCATCATCAAGACAGTATGGTATTGGCAAAAAAAAAAAACCAGACACATAGACCAATGGAATAGAATTGAGAACTCAGAACTGGACCCACAAGTGAAGAAATGGGTAGAAGATATGAACAGACACTTCTCCAAAGAGGACATCCAGATGTCCAACTGACACATGAAATGATGCTCAGCATCCCTCCTCATCAGCGAAATACAAATCAAAACCACACTGAGATACCACCTCACGCCAGTCAGAGTGGCTAAAATGAACAAATCAGAGTATTCTAGATGCTGGCGAGGATGTGGAGAAATGGGCACCCTCCTATGCTGTTGGTGGGAATGTAAACTGGTGCAGCCCCTCTGGAAAACAGTATGGAGGTTCCTCAAAAAATTAACACTAGAACTCCTCTATGACCCAGCAATAGCATTGCTAGGAATTTACCCAAGGGATACTGGAGTGCTGATGCATAGGGGCACATGTACCCCAATGTTCATAGCAGCACCCTCAACAATAGCCAAAGCATGGAAAGAGCCCAAGTGTCCATCAACGGACGAATGGATCAAGATGTGGTTCATCTATACAATGGAATACTACATGGCAATGATAAAGAATGAAATTTGGCCATGTGTAGCAACATGGATGGACCTTGAGGGTTTATGCTGAGTGAAATAAGTCAGGCAGAGAAGGACAGCTACCATATGTTTGCACATATAGGAGGAATAGGAGGAACTTAGTGGAGGACCGTGGGGGAGAAGAAGGGGGAAAAATAGTGGGGGAGAGGGAAGGAGGCACACCATGAGAGACTCTTGAATACTGAGAACAAACTGAGGACTAATTGGGGTGGGGGGGAGGGGACGGGGGGTGATAGGTATGGAGGAGGGCACTTGTGATGTTATATGGAAACCAACTTGACAATAAACTATAAAAAAAAAACCCAAAGATGGGAAAGAAAAAAGATCAGGGGTTGGGGGTGGGGGTTGGAGGAGAAATAAATGAACGGGCAGAGCACAGGATGTTTAGAGCAGAGAAACGATTCTGTATGATACTATGGTGGTGGATACAGATCACTATACATTTGTCAAAACCCACAGAATGTACAATGCAAAGAGTGAACTCTAATGCAAACTATAGACTTAGGGTGTTGACATGTCAATAAAAGATTCATCAATTGTTAAAATGTACCACTCTGGTGCAGGAATTTATAGTGGGGGAGACTGGGGAACAGGGAGTATATGAGAATTCTCTGTACTTTCTGCTCAATTTTGCTATGAACCTAAAACTTCTCTAAAAAGTGAAGTTTAATTAAAAAAAAAGAACTTACTCACTTTCCCCTCAGTATTTAAGAATCTCTTATGGTTTGCCTCCCTCCCTCTCTGTAACTTTTATTTCCCCTACACCTCCCCATGGAAAGTAGGTGATGGGCATTAAGGAGGGCACTTGTTGGGATGAGCACTGGGTGTTCATAGAAACCTACTTGACAATAAATTATATTAAAAATAAATAAATAAAATTTTAAACTTAAAAACTTAAAAGAGCTTAAAAAAAGAAAAGAAAAAAAGAACTTGTTTCTGGCCATTGGCTTTTAACTATAATCTAATATTTATCATTTTCCCCAAATTCAAAAATACCATAGATGTAAATATTATTTATGTACTTAACACTTTACTGCTTACTTTTCTCTCAAAAGCAAATGACAAAAATATTATGAGATACAAAAAGTTTGTTTCATTAAAACAATTATCTAGCTTTACTTTTATCCTAAATTATAGCTTGATTTTGTTAAAAATTTAAGAATTTTCAACCAAAATTTAAGGGTTATCAGATATAAAAGGCTCATAGATATAATTAAAATCATGGACATTTATTATAAATCAATTGTTTTGATATTTCACAATTGGAGACAGCAGAATGGTAAAATACAGAATTGAATTTGAACCCCAGAACAACTGATCTGCCACTTGTTAACTAACAATATGTGGGCAAGTTACCTAACCTCTGTTTTCTCATCTGTAAAACTTTGGAAATGGAATGCACATGAAAATGCTAGTACTCATAAAAGGTCAAAAATATAACATCAACTGAAAATTCTGAACAAGTTTAATCTCCTTTATCATGAAAAGTTAAGATACATTTCTTCAGTCTTAGAAATTTTTACTCTTTTAAAAGAATTTTTTTAATGCTTTATTTATTTCTGAAAGAGAGAGAGAGATAGCTTGAGCAGGGGAGGGTCAGAGAGAGGGAGACACAGAATCTGAAACAGGCTCCAGGCTCTGAGCTAGCTGTTAGCAAAGAGCCCAACGCGGGGTTCAAACCCACAAACTGTGAGATCATAACCTGAGCTGAAGTTGGACGCTTAACCGACAGAGCCACCCAGGCGCCCCAGAAATTTTTACTCTTAATATAAATTATCCCATGTCTTACAACTTTTATATATAGCTGAAAGTTTCTTCAGTCATCACTATCACTTCCTGATTCACTCAGCTGCAAATCATTTCCTAAAATAGAAAAATAGCAAAACTGTAGTAATTAAATATTTAATATTTTCATATTTAATATATTAATTTTGTATAAACATAAATATTATATAATATAATAATATATATAATATATATAATAAATATTATATAAAATGTAACACCAAGGGTGATCCAGTTTAGCTAGCATTTTGTCATTAATCATCAGATTGCTTATTGTATAATTTAGTCACATCATTAATTTGAAAAATTAATATTGCTTATAAAGAAAACATCAATCTTCAGCATAGTTTTAGTATCACCTGGCATCTATTTTAGTCTTCTTTCACATACCAACACCACCTTCTTTTTTACCCCACTGATTTAATTACATTAGGAAATGAGAAAAAAACTGTGGTTTAGATCAGCCTAATTCATTATGAAGAGTGAAAAAAGTTATATAATTTTTTATATAAAATTCAGTCAAAATATTAAGTAGTATTTTTTAAGAGTAATTCATCATTGGTTCCTTTTGTAATTTATCGATGTGCTTACAGTAATGGAACTTATTTTCCAGTGGGGGAGACAGAGAGTAAACAAACAAATACATAATATGATGTCAAGTAGGGATAAATACTATGAAAACATGAAGGTAAGTGATGGAAGAGTGGTGGGAGGTGCTATTTTAGATATGATAGTTATTGGCAGGCCCCCTTGAAGGGTGACATCTGAACAGAGGTCCAAATGTAGAGACAAAATCATAAAAATGTGGGTGGGGGGTAGGTACTATCAAGCCTGAACAGGAAATAACAGATGCCCCAAGGAAGAAGCCTGCTTGTGTTTGCTGATTGCAAGAAGGCCCTGTGGCTGGAGTGGAATGAATGAGGAAGAGAATGATAGGAAATGAGGTCAGGAAGATATCCAGAGACCATGGTTTCTAGGTTATGATAAAAACTTTGGATTATTTTTTTTGAAATGTAATGGCATTCATCAGAAAATTTTAAGCAGGCAACTGACTTGAACTGTTGTAGATCAGTGAATACACTATAATATACTATTAATTGTATCAGTTTCTCCCATAAGAAATAATACTGGCTTTGATTCAGGTGGCTCAGGTGGAGGTGGTGTTAAACAGTCAGGTTTATAATATAAAGACATAACTTAAAGGACGATCAAAAGTACCAGATTTACAAGATGAAAGAAAGAGAAAAGTGAAGATGACCCCTAACATTTCTAATTTAAATAACTGGATGGTGGTATCATTTACTGAGATGAGAAATACCAGAGGAACAAGATTATGTGAGAAAAATTACAAGTTCAATTTTTGACATGAGATATTTGAGATACCTAGTAAATATTCAAGTATATATATCCAAGTAGTTGGATATATACATCTGACATGGTAGAGATTGGAGTTGGAAATAAAGATTGGGAGTCATTGACTGCAGGGGTTTATTTGAAGATATGGAATTGGATAATATCATTTGGGTAGTAAATTACAATGGTTAAAAACACTGTCGTATTTTTAAACTGTCTAAAATCAACAAAATCAACAAAAAGATGGCATATTTTGAAGTTAATACCCAGTTTAAGAGGAGTGGTTTCTAGGCCATATAGAAGTTGTTATAAGATAGCTCAGTTCACTGCATGAACTCCAGAAATATTACATTATTTAATAAAGAAATCTGCTAAAGCTTCTTTTGTGCATGACCATTTTATAATTTCTAAGGATTAAGTTTCCATTTATTACACAACTATTTTATGGCATAAGAATGTTCAACTTGATATGATCCCCATAGCATGAGTTTCTTAAGTCAAACCCAATGTCCTGAGTTCCACTTTTGTAATAGACCTCATGCAGCAGAGGTTATATGCACATGCTTTTGAAATATTCAGTTGATTTGAAGGATCTAGATTAGCCTTTGAACATGACATGCTAATAAAGGAAATACATTTTCAATCAAAATGTTAATTGTGACTTGGAAAAGAGAGTTTAACCATAACAAATGCATTCAGACTCCCAAGCCAGTGGTTCTTAATGACAGCAATACTGATCTCTTAGAGATGTTATAGAAATTTATGTGAAGTGTTATTTGTCTAGATGATTTGCAGATTGTTAGTGGCATTTAGTGAGAGGGGAATTTAGGAATGCTAAATGTATTACAATGCAGGAACAAGTCTTGCACAATAAAGAACCCCAAAACACTCTGCAAAGCTTTGCAAAGTCCACTAATATATGCATGTACCTGGAAGACCTGTTCATAATTTTAAGGCTGGAACCTAATTTCAGTTTTATAAACTAAAGTATTCTTTTGCACAGACTTAAAATTCAGTGAAATTTATGAGGGTTGAACTATTATGTAAACTGAAAGAAGACTACATTTTTTTAAAATGTTACTTGAAATGTTGTAATAATGCTGCAAAAACATAGGGGTGCATGTATCTTTTTGAAATAGAGTTAAATCATTATTTTAAATATTTATTTCACAAAGGTTTTTGTATTTAATTGTTTTGGAAAACATCTTAGTGACATGAATGCTTTTCTAATCCTTATTAGAAATTCTAATCCTTATTAGAACTCAACAAGTTAAATGAAGATAAAAATCACTGACATGTGTTGAATGGTGTCTTGCTCCTTTTAATTCTAAATTTATTCATTAAAGATTTCAAGATATACTACAAAACTGTAATAATCAAAACAGTATGGTACTGACAGAACAGACACATATATCAATGTAACAGAATAGACAGCCCAGAAATAATTCTACATTTATATGGTCAATTAATCATGACAAAGGAGGCAAGAATATACAATAGGGGAAAATAGTCTTCAATAAATGGTTCTGGAAAACTGGACAAAAATATGTTAAGAGAATGAAACTGGACCACTGTCTAACACCATACACAAAAATAATCTCAACATGGGTTTAAGACCTGAATGTAAGACCTAAAACCATACAAATCCTAAAAGAGAATATAGGCAGTAATTTCTTTGACATTGGCCATAACCAAATTTTTCCAGATAGGTCTCCTACGACAAGGGAAACAAAAGCAAAAATAACTATTGGGATCATATCAAAATAAAAAGGTTTGCACAATGAAAGACCCATCAACAAAACAAAAAGACAACCTACTATTGAATAGGAGAAGATATTTGTAAATGATATATCTAATAAGGGGTCAATATCTAAAATATATAAGGAATTTATATGACTCAACATCAAAACCCAAATAAAACCCTAACAATCAGATTAAAAAACGGGCAGAAGACCCAAATAGACATTTTTCCAAAGAAGTCATACAGATGGCCAGCAGACATATAAAAAGATGCTCAAAGGGTGACTGGGTGGCTCAGTCCATTAAGCATCTGACTCTTCATTTTGGCTCAGGGCATAATCTCCTGGTTCCTGGGATCAAGCTCTGCTTTGGGCTCTGTGCTGAACATGTAGAGCCTGCTTGGCATTCTCTTTCCCTTTTTCTCTGCCCCTCCCCTGCTCATGATCTCTGTCCCTCTCTCAAAATAAATAAATAAACATTAAAAAAGAAAGAAAAGATGCTCAATATCACTAATCATCAGGAAAATGCAAATAAAAACCAAAATGAGGTATCATCTTACACCTGTCAGAATGGCTAAAATCAAAAAGAGAATAAATAACAAGTGTTGGTGGGGATGTGGAGAAAAAGAAATCCTTTTACACTGTTGGTGGAAATGTAAATTGTGTAGTCACTGTGGAAAATAATATGGAGATTACTTTAAAAATTAAAATAGAAATACTATATGATCCAATAATTCTACCACTGGGTATTTGTCCAAAGAAAATATAAACACTATTTCAAAAAGATATAAGCACCACTATATTTTTGCAGCATTATTTACAACAATCCAGACATGGAATCAACCTAAGAGTTGGAAGGATAAGGAATATGTATTTTATATATAAATATATACACACAGTGGAATATTATGCAGCCATAAGAAAGGAATGAGATTGTATCATTTGTGATGACATGGATGGACCTAAAAGGTATTATTGTTAGACTAAGAAAGACAAATACCATATGATTTCACTCATATGTGGAATCCAAAAAAAATGAATAAACAAACAAAAAGCAGAATCAGATCTATAAATACAGAGAACAAACTGATGGTTGCCAGAAAGGAGGGGAGTGGAGGAATGGGCAAAATGGGTGCAGGGGAATGGAAGATACAGGCTTCAAATTATGGATGAATAAATCACAGGAATAAAAGACACGGCATAAGGAATATAGACAATGATATTATAATAATGTTGTATGGTGATAGATGGTAGGTATGCTTGCAATGAGCACAGCATATTGTATAAACTTGTGGAATCACTATGTTGTAATGTAACATTGTATGTCAACAACACTCAAATAAAAAAAATTTTAATAAATAAAATAAATAAATTTGTTATTTAAAAGTAGGTGCAAACATTTGGTTTACTTTTTTGTCCCTCTGGTTTGGCCATGCTTGAGCATTTATAAAGTAGAACGTGTATTACTAAGTCATTTTAATTTTTCTTAATATTATATTATTTTCAAAGATGTATGTATCTAGGTGATATTGAGTTATGAAATTCATTTCAAGTTAGTTAAAGGGGACTTTAAAATATCTGTTATAAAAGAGAGCATTGGGTCTGATAAGGTTGAGAAATGAGATTACTGTGGTAACAATAAAAGAAGGTGTAGTTCCTCTTATAAGAAAACTTCTATTTGGGGCGCCTGGGTGGCTTAGTCGGTTGAGCGTCCGACTTTCGCTTAGGTCACGATCTCGCGGTTCGTGGGTTCGAGCCCCGCGTCGGGCTCTGTGCTGACTGCCAGCTCAGAGCCTGGAGCCTGTTTCAGTGTCTGTGACTCCCTCTCTCTCTGACCCTCCCCTGCTCATGCTGTCTCTCTCTCTCTCTCTCCTAGAAAAAAAAAAAAAACATAAAAAAAAAGAAAACTTCTATTTGGATAAAATATATCAGAAAAATAAATTGGCTAGATTTTAAGGAAATCCCAAATGGTAGTTAACTACTGTTATAACAAATCACTACTGGCTTCTGCTTATAATTTTTGCATCCACAATCTTTCTGAATTCTTTTGTTATTTCTATAGTTTATTGAATCTCCCGAACTTTTTCTGAAGACAATTATATCTTACTTCTTGTTTTCAATTCTTACATATCATTTTTTACTTGTTTTATTGCATTTTCTAGAATATTCAGTACAATGTTAAATAAAAATCATGGTATTAGTCTTCCTTATCTTCTTCCTAACTTCAGTGAGAATGCTTGCAGAGTCTCTATTATCATGTTGGCAATAGTTTTGTTTTTTATAATAAATTTTATAAAGCTAAAAACATTTTATATTAGACCTTTGGTAAAAGTTTTTAAAATTTGGAGCACCTGGGTGGCTCAGCTGGTTGGGTGTCTGACTTCAAACTAGGTCATGATCTTGCCATTACAAGTTCGAGCCCCATTATCGGGCTCTGTGCTGACAGCTCTGAGCCTGGGGCCTGTTTCAGATTCTGTGTCTCCCTCTCTTCTCTCTCTGCCCCTACCCCACTTGTGCTCTCTTTCAAAGATAAACATTTAAAAATTTAAAAAAAAGTTTTTAAAATTCATAAGTACTAAATTTTGTCAAAATAAAATTTATTGAAATTGTATGGCTTTATTCCTATAATATCTTAATGTGGTAAATTATACTGATAGCATTTAGGTTATTGAGCATTTTTTACATTTCTGTCATGAGTTGCTTGCTTGTTTTAAGTGCATGGGTTATTCAATTTTCTAATATATTCTTTAGTAATTTTGTAACTATGTTCTTAAGTGAAATTGTTCTACAGTGCTTTTGTCTTGCTCCTATTTAGTTTTGCTATCAAGGTTACTCTAATATTATAAAAGATCTTTTCTATTCTCTGAAACAGTTTGTAGAAGATAAGAATTATTCGTTCCTTGAATATTTGTTAAAATTATTTATAAAACTATCTTCAGTTTTCCAGCATCTAGGGTGGAGGAGGATGAGACATTAACTACTACTGGTTTCGTTAGGCTTTCTTTTTGTTTTTAAAAATATTTTTAAGTGTTTTATTTATTTTTGAGAGAGAGAGAGAGAGAGAGAGACGGCATGAGCAGGGGAAGGTCAGAGAGAGAGGGAGACACAGAATGTGAACCAGGCTCCAGTCTCTGAGCTAGCTGTCGGTACAGAGCCCAACGCGGGGCTCGAACTCACAAACCATGAGATCATGACCTGAGCCAAAGTCGGACGCTTAACTGACTGAGCCACCCAGGTGCCCCTCATTAGGCTTTTGATTTCTTTTTGAGTCACATTTGATAGATAATACTTTTCCTGGAAACTCACCCGTTTCTATCCTAAATTTCCTGGAATGAAATTTTTGTAAAATTCTCTTAATTTAAAAAATAAAAGCATATTTTAGCTATAATTTTATCTACTTTTTCATTCCTAATAATATTTGATAATATTTGTGCCTTTTCTTTTTTCTTCATTAGCTCTGGCTGGAGGTTGGTCTTTTTATTAGTTTTCAAAGAAATTAATTTTAGTTTTGTTTATTCTCTAATTTTTCTTCACTATCTATAATTTTGATTCAAACCTATATTTCTTTCTCTGCTTTCTTTAAGCTTAAGATAGTTTTCTAGTTTTTCAAGATGAATCTTTCACTTATTTGTTTTAAATCTTTTTTAAAAGAACATTTTGAGGCTATAAATTTCCCTGTATCATTTTGGCCACATCCTCAAATTACTGTGATAAATTATTTTTGATATTGCTTAATTGTAAATATTTTATAATTTCATTGTAGTTTCTTTTTAACATGTAAATTATTAAGCATGTGCTTTGAATGTATTTTAAACTAATTTTTTGTTATTTATATTTTCATTGTATTATAACCCTATAATATGATCAGTAGAATGTTAATTCTTTGAAATATGTTATTTCCTTTGTCTCAGTAGAAAGTAATTATTAAAGTTTTATAGATACCTTAAAAGAATGTCTGTTTCTCATTTTTGGACTGTAGAATTATATATTTACTATTAGAATAGGCATGTTAATTATGTTGTTCAAGGATTATATACCCTTACTAGATTTTGTCTGCTTGATTACAGATGGATTAAATATTTCATTATGACAGAGACTTAGTGTATCTTATTATTCCAATAATTTTTATTGTATACATATACACACACACACTCCTACCTATTTTAATATATATGCACATACGTTGTGAAGATATATTATCATTGGCACACAAATTTGTAATTCTTTATCTTCCTAATGAATTGAACCTTCTGTCATTATTTGGCCATTCAAGAAATCAGATGCTCCAATTTTACCTCTTAAGTTAGGAAGACGATCACTAATGACATCAATAACTGGAAGTTCAAAAGACCTTTCCCAATCCCTATTTATTTCATAGTTTTTCTTTCGCTGCCACCCAGACTTGGCTCCTCCCTTCTTTAGTTCTGTTATTTGGCTAGCTAGGGTCAGTTGTTTTATTATTACTAATTAACGCAGTGAGATTAGTTTTATTTTTTTTTATTTTTATTTTTTTAAATGTTTTTATTTATTTCTAGGAGAGAGAGAGAGAGAGCGTGAGCAGGGGAGGGTCAGAAAGAGAGTAAATCACAGACTGAAACAGGTTCCAGGCTCTGAGCTGGCAGTTAGCACAGAGCCCGATGCAGGGCCCGAACCCACGAACTGCGAGATCATGACCTAAGCGAAAGTCGGACGCTTAACCAACTAAGCCACCCAGGCACCCCTTTTTTTATTTTTTTATTTTTAGAGATTAGTTTTAAATACACAGAAAGTTCCATTCTCCCCCTGAGAGTATCAACCTGTATGCTTTTATTAAAAAGTATTTATTGGGCATCTACTATGTATCAGGTTGTGTGCTAGGTGCTAGAACTCAATAAGCAGCGAAAAATAAACAAGATTGGTGTCCTCCTGAAGCTTATATTTTAGAAGAAAGCAAATCACACACAAGATATAAATTTATAATTATGACAATTGACATAAGCAAGATATTGCTCTGAAGTTCTACAAAAAGGAGGATCTGACCTTGTCAGGAAGATATCCTTGATAAAGTGTGCCTTGAACTGTAATCTAAAGGAGAAAAAGGTAACCATATGAAAAGAAAGAATCTGGCTGACTGAACAGCAGTGTTTAAGGGCCCTGATAAAGGTGAAAGGTTTGAGTATAGTAGCAAAAATTAGGTAAATGTTGCTAGAACAAAAAAAGCAAGACCATAATGTTAAGATGTTTTGTCTCTATCATAGAAGAAATTACAAATGATACTTGAATAATGTGGGAGTGGTTAGGGGAGCTGACTCTGTTGTGAAAAATCTGCATATAACTTTTGATTCTACAAAAACAACTACTCAAACCTACTGTTGACCAGAGGCCTTACCAAAAATATAAGTAGTTGATTAACACATATTTTATATGCTATATGTGTTATATACTATATTCTTACAATAAATCAAGGTAGAGAAAAGAGAATGTTAAGAAAAGCATAAGGCAAAGAAAATACATTTACAGTACTAGAAAAAATCTATTAAAAAAAAAACCCCACATAAAGTGGACTTGCAGTGTCTACTGTGTTGCTTAAGGGTCAACTGTGTTAGTTACTGAAAAGTTTAAAGCAGGAGGAGTGACAAATTATATTTGAATTATGAAAAGAGCAATACGGCTGCAATATACATAATGGATCAAAACTGGGTTTGAGTAGATAAAGGGTGAACCAGTTAGGACATCACTACAGAGTGAAAAGTAAGAAATAACAGTAAGTTGAACAAGAGTGGTAGCAGTGGAGATGCAGAGAAGTAGATGAATTTGAGAAATATTTAGGAGGTAAAATAAATAGGACTTGATGAAGGATTGACTATACTATAAAAAGGGAGAAGAAATAAGTCCTTGTATACAATTAGGCTTCTGGATTGTACTATGATAAATCCTGCCTTTCACTAAGAGGAAATAGTGAGCCAGTGAGTTTAAGTTGGTTTTTGGACAAAATGAATTTGGAATGCCTTTCCTAAGAGATGGTGTTGGACCTATCTGTTTCTAGAGCTCAGAGGACTAGGTCATAGATGCAAATTTATAAGTTATCTATATGTAAGAATTGCCTGCAACAAAAATATGGAGGAGATTATCTAGGGAAAGAATGTGGAGTAAAAAAGAAAGAGGACCTATAATTAAGCTTTGAGAAACTCCAGGTCTAATGACGGACTAGAAGATTCTATACTGGCAAAGGAGAAGAGAAAAGTATCTAGAGAGACAGAAGAAAAACTAGTAAGACATAATGTCACAGTGTGAAAAGGAGAGGAATGATTCAATAAAAAGGTAATGATTAATCATAGTATCAAATGAATAAAGTAAGAGTTTGATTCTTTTTATTCAAATTTTAGATCAATAATCACTATGGCTCCACAGAAAATTCTTACTTTTCGATTACTCATGTTTACATATACTTACTTAAAGTACTCATCAGAAGGCCACTGCTGTCATGAGATCTATCCCGGCCAGCATCCATATCAGGAATCCTGCACTGTGGCATGGCAGACATGGCAGGATGTCCTGAGATATAAGTCCCTGGATCAGAAGGAGAGGATCTGCACTCTTCATCATCTGAGTCACTGGAACTATCCTCACTACTTGAAGATGATGAACTTTTGGAATCTGATGAACTATCACAACTACTCATCTGGTCCATTAGACTAGCTTCTGCCTTCAGTTCTGAAAATAAAACAGAAATTAATAGATAGGTTAAATATATAATATTAAGCATAAACATTAAAGTAAACTTTGAATGTGTTAGCTTCTAAAAAACTGTCGATGAAGAATAAATTAGATATACATACATTTAGAGCATTTAAGGCATTTTATTTAAATTTTTTAAAATGTTTATTTTTGAGAGAGAGAATGTGAGTAGTGGAGGGGCAGAGAGAGAGGGAGACACAAAATCTGAAGCAGGCTTCAGGCTCTGAGCTGTCAGCATAGAGCCCAACATGGGGCTTGAACCCATGAATTGTGAGATCATGACCTGAGCTGATCTGATACTTAACTGACTGAGTCAACCAGGTGCCCCTAAAGCATTTTATTTAAAAAGCTCCTCTACCATCAAAACAAATCACACTTCAATGCTGGAATTATGAAAATTAAAAGACATAGGCAGTGCCTAAGTTGAAATACTACATTTTTATGCCATTACACTTAAATATGTATGTAATTCAAATAAAATAAAGAATGTAAAAACTTAAAAATGTGAAAATGAAAATCTATTTTGGCAGAGACAATCCTCCAACTTCTCTTATCCTAAAACATATATAATGCAATACAATACATACAGATGAGTTTTTTTCCAGCTTTTTTGATGTATAATTGACAAAATTGTATATATTTAAATGTACAACAGGCTCCTGGCCTTGGCATAAACAGTGGCTTGGGATAAAAAAACACTAGCTTCAACCAGGGATCTGGACATTCAGCGTGAACAGTTGAGTGATGCCGGGTAGACAGAGTTCCTGCCTCTGAACCAGCAGTTTGAGGTGAATGAAATATTACTGAGCCATAAAAAAGAATGAAATCTTGCCCTTTGCAACAATATGGATGGAACCAGAGAGTATTATGATAAGTGAAATAAGTCAGTCAGAGAAAGGCAAATGGAATTTAAGAAACAAAACAAATGATCATAGGGAAAAAAAGAGAAGCAGAAGAAAAATTCTCTTAACTATAGAAAATAAAATGAAGGTTGCTAGAGGGGAGGTGGGGGGTATGGATTAAATCTGTGATGAGGATTAAGGAATGTACATGTTGTGATGAGCACTGGGTGTTGTATGTAAGTGTTGAATCACTAAATTGTACATCTGAAACAAACATTACACTGTATGTTAACTAACTGGAATTTAAATAAAAACTTAAAAAAATTTAGATACCATTCTGTATATTACATCACCAGAACTTATTCATCTTATAAATCAAAGTTTATACCACTTGACCAATTATTTCCTATTTCTCCCTACCCCTACAGTCCCTGGCAACCACCCTCATACACTGTTTCTATGAGTTTCACATTTTTTAGATTCCACATATAAGTGAGATCATACAAAATTTATTTCTCTGTGTAGCTTATTTAATGTACTTCTCTTTCTGATAGTTTGTTGTTAGTATATAGGAATGCAACTGATTTTTGCATATTGATTTTGTATCCTGCAACTTTACTGAATTCATTTATTAGTTCTAACAGTTTTTTGGTGCAGTTTTTAGGGTTTTTTATGCATAAGATCATATTATCTGCAGAGATTAATTTATTTCTTCTTTCCAATTTAGATCCATTTCTTTCTTTTTCTTGCCTAATTGCTCTAGTTAGGATTTCAGTACTATGCTAAATAGAAGTGAATAAGTACCCTTGTCTTATTCCTGATCTTAGAAGAAAACTTTCAGCTTTTCAATGTCATATATGTCATATATGGCTTTTATTATGTAGAGACACATTTCTTCTCTATCTAATTTGTTGAGAATTTTCATTTTATTTATTTTTATTTTTTTAAGTTTCTTTATTTTTGAGAGAGAGAGAGAGAGAAAGAGAGAGAGAGAGCACAAGCAGGGGAGAGGCAGAGAGAGAGGGAGAGAGAGAGAATCCCAAGCAGCCTCCACACTGTCAGTGCAGAGCCCAATGTAGGGCTCAAACCCACAAACCATGAGATCATGACCTGAGCTGAAACCAAGAGTCAGACACTTAACTGACTGAGTCACCCAGGTGCCCTGAGAGTTTTTAATGTGAAATTATGTTGAATTGTGTCAAATGATTTTTTCTGCATCTATTGAGATAATCATATGATTTTTATATTTCATTCCATTAACATGATGTATCACATCTATTGATTTGCATATATTGAAATACCCTTGCATTCCCAGCATAAATCCCAGTTGATCATAGTGTATAATCCTTTTAATATGCTGTTGAATTTGGTTTGCTAGTATTTTGTTGAGGATTTCTCCATCTATGTTTATCTGGGATACACGCCTGTAATTTTCTTTTCTTATAATGTCCTTGTCTGGCTTTGTTCTCAGAGTAATGCTGGCTTTGTAAAATTAATTTGAAAGTGTTCTCTCCTCTTCAATTTCTTGGAATAGTTTGAGAGGAATTGGTATTAATTCTTGTTTTAAATATTTGGTATAATTCACCAGTGAAGCCATCTATCTGGTTATATGCTTTCTTTGCTAGGGGGGATTTTGATTATTCAGTTTCCTTACTCAATTTTGTTCAGATTTTCTTTCTTCATGATTCAGTCTTGGTAGGTTATCTCTTTCTAGGAATTTATCCATTTCTTCTAGATTAAATGATTTGTTAGCATATGGTTTCTCATAGCAGTCTCTTATGAATCTGTAATCGTAGCATCAGTTATAATGTCTCTTTTATTTATCTATTTGAGTATTCTTTCTCTTTTCTTCATTAATCTAGTTAAAAGTTTGTCAATTTTATCTTTCAGAAAAACCAACTCTTAGTTTTATTCACCTTTTTTATTTTTTCTAGCCAATTTTTCTTATTTCTGTTCTGAATAATCTTTATCATTTCCTTCCTTCTGTTGACTTTAGGCTTAATTTGTTCTTCTTCTGGTTTCTTGAGGTGTTAAAGTTAGGTTATTTGAGATCTTTCTTTTTCCTAATGTAGGGATTTATTGCTATAAACTTCCTTCTTGAGCAGCTTTTGCTGCATCCCATACGTTTTGGTATACTGCCCTTCCATTTCATTTATTTCAAGATTTTTAAATTTCCTTTCTGATTTCTTCTTTGACTCACTGGTTGTTCAGGTGCATGTTGTTTAATATCCACAAATTTGTGAATTTTCCCACTTTCCTCCCATCATTGATACTAGTGTCATACCACTGTGGTTGGAAAAGATACTTAATATGATTTCAATCTTTTACAACTTGTTAAGACTTCCTTTGTGACCTATCATATGATGTATCATGGAGAATGTTCAGCATTTGCTTGAGAAGAATGTGTATTCTGCTACTGTTGATACCATGTTTTATACAAATCTGTTGTCTATTTGGGCTAAAGTGTAGTTCAAATACAATGTTTTCTTATCTATTTTCTGCCTTTATCCATTGTTGAAAGTGGGGTACTGAAGTCCCTTACTATTTTTGCATTGGTGTCTCTATTTCTCCCCAGATCTATAAATATGTAATATACTAGGTGCTCCAATGTTGGGTGCATATACACTTACAGCTGTTAAATCCTCTCGATGAAATAATCCTTTATGTTATCTAATAAACCTTCTTTGACTCTTGTGACACTTTTGACTTACTCTGCTTTGTCTGACGTAAATATAGCTACTTTTCTCTTTTGCTTTCCATTGATGGGAATATCCTGTTTCTATTCCTTCATTTTCAGCCTACATGTGTCCTTAGAGGTGAAGTAAGTCTCTTGTAGGTAGCACTAGTTGATCTTGTTTTTTATCCATTCAGCCAAACTATGTCTTTTGACTGGAGAATTTAATTCATTTCTGTTTAAACTACTCATTGGTAGGTAAGGATTTACTTTTGCCATCAACTGTTTCTGGCTTTTTTGTAGTTCATATCACTTGCTGTCTTCCTTTGTGATGTAATAAATTTCCATAGTGGTATGCTTTGATTTCTTTTCTTTATCTTTTGTATAATTGTTAGAGGTTTTTGCTTTGTGGTTACCACGAGGCTATATAAAATCTCTTACAGTTATAACAATGTATTTTAAGCTGACAATAACTTCTACCAAATAGAAAAACTTTACCCTTTTATTTCCCTTCCTACATTTTATGTTTTTGATGTGACATTTCACATCTTTTTAAATTGTGTGTCCATTAACAAATTGTTATAGCTAGTGTTATTTTTAATACTTTTGTTTTTTACCTTTTATACTAGAATTAAGTAATTTACACACTACCACTACAGTATGAGAGTATTCTAAATTTGACTCTGTACTTCAGTTTCCCAGTGAGTTTTATACTTCCATTTGTTTTCATGTTACTAATTAGCATCCATTCACTTCAGCTTGAAGAATTCCCTTCAGCATTTCTTGTAAGGTACCTCTGGTGTCAATGAACTCCCTCAGCTTTGGTGTATATGGAAAGGTCTTTACATCTTCATTTCTGAAGGACAGATTTACCAGTTAAAGTATTCTTAATTGGTAGGTTTTTGTTGTTGTTGATTTGATAATATTACCCAACTCTCTTAGTCTGCAAGGTTTCTGCTGAGAAATCCACTGATAGTCATATGAGGTTCCTTTATATGTGAGGAGTTTCTTTTGCTTTTTTCAAAATTCTTTCTTTTTCTTTGATTTTTGGCAGTTTTATTACAATTTGTCTTGGTAAAGACTTTAGAATGTTTATCTTAGTTGACAATGTTAGTTTCAGGTATACAATGTAGTTATTCAACAGTTCTATAAGTTATGCTATGTTCACTACACATATAGCTACCATCTGTCACCATACAATGCTATTATAATACCATTGTATATATTCCATATGCTGTGCCTTTTATTCTTGTAATTTTCTTTGCATTGATATTGCTTGGAGTCTTTTGAGCTTCATATGCCTGGATGTTCATATTCAGATATTCCAATTTGGGAAGTTTTTGGCCATTATTTCTTTAAATAAATTTTCTATCTTCTCCTCCTGGGATCCCTCTAATTCATACATTGTTTTGCTGGATGTATTATCCTCTAATTCACATAGGTTCTCCCCACTCCTTTTC